CCCCAAAACCCCAAAACCCCAAAACCCCAAAACCCCTTATGGTCTTTGAAGGGTTGACACTAGATTTCTAAATCGATATTCAAGTTTTTCAACAGCACATCTGGGTCAGAGTGGTTCAGTTTGTTGGATAATAGCCGATATTTCTCACGCAGAGAGTGCTCTTTTGAGAGTAAGGCGTGCTCACGGTCGCTGAGAGATTTTAGAGCAAGATTGTTGTCTGATATGCATTTCTTTTTAAGTGCCAATAGCTGTGATTCCATTTCTTTGATTCTTATTTTTCTTTCTTCTAGAAGATAAACAGCATCATCGTATTGAGTGAGTGCTATGGATAAGTTATTTTTATTTCTGGATAATCTTAGTCTTATCCCTCTTAATTTGGTCCTCTCTCAGACTAACCTCTTTCTCTGCTTGTGAGACTATTCCCTCTCTAGCGAGGATATCTAACTCCCGAATGCTTAGTTTATTTTGCTCATATTTGAACTCTTCCTTGAGATTAATATAATTGAGGGAGTTCTTTTCAAGGTTTACTAGCTCTTTTCTTCGATCAAGAATGTATTTCTCATACTCTATCATTCTGATTTTACGCTGGTTTAGCTCAGTCAGGTCTTCTTGCACAAGCTTCATTTTCTCTGGAGAATTTAGCACCTTATTTCAACTTATGTTTAACTTTATTTTCTTCAGATTCTTCTATTAGTGACAAATCATCTCCTTTGGTAGAGAATCTGACAGAGAATTTCTGCTTTTTACGAGGACTGGTTGGCTTTGAAAGAATTGGGGATATTTCCTGGAGCTTTTCCTGTATTATTTCATGAGCTTTAGAGTACTTTTCAGAAAGATACTTAAGTTCAACGACTGATTTCTTATCACTTTCGAGATCAATTTCCTCAACTTCTTCATTTACCATTTTCAATGCTTCTAAAGTAGATCTGTCATCAGAATCATCAGGGTTGGGATCGATTGTAAATTTCCTTTTAGAAAGCTCTTTCTTTCTCGATTCTCTACTTGAATAATTCTTGAGGAAATTGGGTTCATTAAAATTGTTCTTCTGCTTAGAGTTCATCCCTCTTCTAGGACTCTGAGAGCCTAATGCTGCTAAATTATTCAGCCCAAAATTCCTATTCAGGTGTACATCGACTGAAGACCTTTTCATGAGAGCAGGTGTAGGAGCAAAGGAAGATCTCTTCCTTTTATGTGTTTCTTTCTTTCTCATTTCCCTTTCTACGAGTTCAATAACTTCATCGATGTTTTCATTAAATTTAGTGATGAAAGTGGTCAAATATTTTTCCGTTTGGGAATTCAATTTGTATTGCTCATATGTCTTGAGAAGACTCTTAAGTCCTATAACTTTGTCAGCTCATTGTTGCACAAGAGAGAAGCTGCTTTCATTTTTAGAAGATTTTGGATCTTTGTTTCCATTTATTGCAATTTTCTGATAGTTTAGATTGAAAGGTAGACTCCCCCTTTTCATCGTTCAATTTAAATTATATATTTTGGGGTTTTGGGGTTTTGGGGTTTTGGGGTTTTGGGGTTTTGGGG